GTCAAAAAAAAAGAAGAGCAGTGTGAAATAAATTTGTGCGCAGTTGGGCATTTAGAATCACACAAGGAGCTAAGTAGTTTCTAAAAAAGAAATATATGAGAAAGATAAAAAGCAGAAAATTAGTATGAATATGAACTACTTTCAATTCTTTATAACCTTATATGAATAGTATATTATAGGACTAATTACTTGATTAGTCAAAGGCATTTATTAACTCCTCTTGAATTTACCCTCCTACTAAGACGTGTGTCTTCTGGGACTGGATTCCTGCACAAGTCATGTGATCTGTGTGAGATTGCGACCCCAAAAGATGCACTTTGAGGGGGCCATGTTCTCACATGAGAGCACAGAAGCCCAAAACACGTGTTTTGGGGTGCCACACAAAATGGTCACCATACTCTTGCACACACAAAAACTAGATGTCCTTGTTTTACTGGGACAGTTGAGGGGTATGTGATATTAATAAATTTGTGTCCTACACCTTATTCCAGAGTTTTAAATAATACTTGGTTAGAGGCAGCAACTTTCCATTTTTGAGCAGCCATTTTGTGAAGATCCTCCATTAACACTTAGTATCGCATAACTGTAATATTTAGTATGTTTTACAGGGATGATAGCCTGCTGGCTGCTTGTTCAAGAGGGGGCAAAAGCTTATGGGCTGTAGCACTAAATTATATCTCTCTCACAAATCCTACCTTTCCTCAGAAAGAAGACGTTCCACAGAAGCTGCTTAGCTTCTTTGTGAGTGGAGAGTACTGGAGACCTGTGGTATTTTCACAATATCTCAGCTTATTTATAAATATACCCGACTGAGCAGATGGGAAGCACAAAGGCAATGATAGTCACCAAGCAACATTTAGTCCAGGGAAGGTTCTGGCAAGCTGCTTTTGCCAGAGAGAGATTTATTAGCAAATTCCCCCTGTTAAATTTCGAATTGAACCTGTGTTTCTCTCTCTTATGCCTACATTAAAACAACAAATAAAATTGCAAAAGCTGTTTTCACACACATGTGCGTGTGCCTGCATACACACACACACACCAGAAAAGTGGAGCTTGGTATGAATGCCAATCCAGTTACATAATGTTTGAGGTCTGCTCCTGCCTCTGTAATAGGGGAGGGGAACAACCAGTCCACAGGTCAAAGTAGATCCCCCAGGCCTGCAAGGCCATTTCAGTCAAGCCATGCCCAGCTGCCCTACTACTGACATCACATATGGCACCTGGTGTGAGGCAGGTAAAGATGCAGCTGGGCCTGCAGGAGGCGGGGTTAGAGGTGCTGTCCTTCAGCAGATTGGGACCACCTGTAAAGCCCTGTGCATAAACAGCGGCAAACAGCTTATTGTCTGGGCTTGCAAAAGCTCAGTGCAGCATGATCTGCAAGGCTTGGCAAACAGCTCATCATTTTGTTATGATTTGTGGATGAAGGGCACCCTACATTCCAGATCAAGCTAGTGTTAGTATTTCGTTAAGGCTGGTGTGTTAAACCTGTGTGTCACAGGAGCAGCATCACTCACTCCAGCCCTAGCTTAGGGGCTTGAGCCTGATGTCACCTGCCTCAGGTTGCCTGCAGGTTCCCCGATGCTTGGCTTGCACTACAAGTGGGTCTTTTACACTGGTTAACTCCCAACAGGTACCCAGCAGATGGACTGGGAGGGGATTCAAACAGCAGGTGAGCAATTGGATCCCTACTAGCTCCTTCCCCTGGAATTCCATGTTAGGTTTTTTAACTAAATGTAGGGAAATGGGGCAGAATGTTGGGAACTAGATCTTAGAACAAGAGAGACCCAACAAAGACATGCCGTATTTTCACTTTCACCGTATTTTCACTTTTGTACAATTACAGTTCCTGTGTACAATTACAGTCCCTTGGTGCTTCATACAACTACTTTATAATAATTAGTTTATAATAATTATAAACTACTTTATACTACTTTATAATAATTTTATACTACTTTATAATAATTAGTGTGGTTGTGGAAATGGAAGATACTTTAATAAGCAGGAGGAAAAGAAATGATAGTAGAATGTAGAGGGGAATGTGGATTGAATCTGTATATGTCTACACAACGTTGTGCCTCTGGTAGCGCACAATAATTTATCCAGTTATGTGTAAAATGAGAGATTTTGCCTCACTAATAACAAAAATGAACTGGGAATTTGGTTGCAAACTAAATCAAAAATCTCTCTTTCATACCATTTAGAAGGTTCTCCAGGGGATTAAGGCTGCCCTGCTATAAATGGAACTGTAAACAAAAGTCCAAAACAATTATAAGAAAATTTCCCCAGTTGAAGTGCCAAAGAATGAATGCCCATTCTGCCCACACATCTTGTCTTTTTGGGAATTTGTCTATTCCCAAAATGCTAGGAGCTCTGATATAGTAGGAAGCACAAAGGTGGTTTATTAGACCTGCAAGGGTGCATCTGAACGGCAGAAGATTTACTGCCAGAAATCTGTCATGGGAAGGAGCCAAATCATTAGCTCTTCCTGCATGATTGATCTTTCAAATATGACTAGCAGTGGTGTAAGAGCTACTGCTTTGCACTGTCTATGTCACCCCTGCAGGCAATGTTTGTAAGCTCCCCTTCACATTAATCCTTACCTATTTCAGGGTTACTTCCTCCGCAGTTGTTCCTGCACCAGTCTGGGTCTGTGTAGTGGATTATACCCACCTGGAGCATAAGAACATACGAAGCAGTCTGAGACTCACTTGAACCCTCTGTCCATCTAAGCCATCAAATTCAGGGTTACTACCCCTACCACACCAGTGGTATGCACACGAGACCAGTTTGTAGCAGAATTGCCAGTGCTGGAAGGCTAGCTCTGCTGCAACACTCCTTCCCACCAGATCCTTCCCACCAGATTCTCCTGCCTCCTGATGCTGTTGGACTACCATCAGGCTCAGCCAGCAGGGACAATGTCCAGGAGATGGAGGGAGGGAGTTGCAGTCTAGCATCCCTGAGCTGCACAGATTGACAGCAGCTCTCAAGAGCTGCAGACAGGGATATTGCCAAACCCTACCTGCAGATTCCTGGGACTGAGCCAGGATCTTTTAAATACAAATCATGTGCTTTACCACCAAGCTATAGTCCTACCCTCAAAGATGGCATGCATTTATTCATTTATTATAGGGTTGTAGCCGTGCACCCCAATCCTATGCATGTTTAGTTCAATGGTTTTCTGAAATAAGTATGCATTTGGTGCAGCCTAACTTTCTATATCTCACAGCCTTGTTCTTTGGGTGTGATTAGCAAAACACTCATCACATCCTGTGTCTGAAAGATACTACGTGCTAATAAGATGTCACTTCCAGCTGATTAGATATACCCAAGTTCTGTTGTTAATGACTACATTATCTGCCTGAGAAAGTAAACAGATTCCCGCTTAGTGAGATCCAAGGTGTGCCACTTTTTCTGTTACTTAATACTGAACTTACAGTGATAACTTACTCAAAAGTATCAGAACACCCCTAAAGCAGAAATCAAATCTATGCCAAACCTTATCACAAGGAGGTGTGCCAATGCCCAATATAACTAAGCACAAGCTTGCTGTTATGTTAATAGCAATGTGCTATTGGATAGATAATTTGTGTATTAACCTTGAGCAGGAAAGCTTTGAGATCCCATTAGAGATGGTTTTTAGAGCAAGGCAGATGGAGGGCCTGTGAAAATTACTAAAGTTTGGGAATAATGTCACCCCAGTTGTGTAACTCCCCAGTCTTGATGGGATTTTGTTACTTGAGGAAGACCTTGTTTTCTCATTGTGTAGATTTTTTTTTTTTTTTTGTCTTGAGTCTCTTTCTGCATAGTTATTATTCATGGTATTTTCAGTGTATTTTATTAAATGTTATTGGTAAAATTATGTGGAAACCTCTTTTGCAGTCATGTGATGGAATGCAGTATACAGAATACAGTATACAGAAGCATAATCAGAGATGTGTCGGTTTCCGCCCTTCCAACAGTATCTTCAGTAATGCATTATAAGGATTTTAGAGTGCCAGAAGAACAAGTGATGTCATTGTCAGAATCATGCTTTTACAAAATTTGTGGGATTCCTTCAAAGGGAGCAGAATTACTGTGTTTAATTAAGTAAAATATGCTACTCAAGGTCCAAACCTCATTTAGTAACTACAGTTTAGAAATCTAACGTTTAAGAAACTGGAGGGAGTAAGACATGAGTAGAAAACCAACGAAAGTTGAATATTTACAGTGCAAATCTACATCAGAACAAAGACCTACCAACTTCTATGGGTCTACTAGATAAGTGTTAATATTGTTTTAAGTAGGATGCTCATTTTTATCTAAAAATCGGTCCTTGCAAATATAATATACTGTTGGAAATGCAACCTATGAACCTTTTAAAAATGTGGTCAACCTGTGGCCCCTGAACTTGTATTATTTGTTTAATCTTTATTGTTTTTCGCTCTGCTTTGTAAGTCCAAATAGATGACAGAAAGACATATTAAAAAACAGAGGAAAACATCTCACTCTACAAAAAGGGGGACACACACACCATATTTTAAAAAGGAAACAGCCATCCACACAGAGTAGTGTTGTAAATGGTGATGTGTTCCTCAGGCGTGGCCCATTCTTCCATAACATCAGAGTACATTATTTTCTGTTTGTTTCACCCCAACTTCTATAGTTTTAGAGCTCCGCCCCCCTCTTTCTATGTAGCTTCACAACAATTGGACCAGACAGTGTTTTATTGGATTAAAATTGATTTTTTAAACTTGTCTCTGGTTACATGTCTTGAAGAATAGAAGTTTCTGTCTTCCTACTGTCTGAAAACAAATTGGTAGGGTTTTGGCACACATGTGGGTGTGAGTGTGTGCATGTGTGCCACACTACAGCTGCATGCAGGCTGCACACACTATTCCTTTAAAACACATTCTGGACACTGATATTTACCCCTCACAGAGCTGCAATTCTCATCAGCGCTTCACAAACTATGGTGCCCAGAATTCTTTGAGGGTGGGAAATGTGCCTCAAAAGTGCTCTTTGCACACAGGATAGCTCAGTTGGCAGAGCATGAGGCTCTCAGGGTCATGGGTTTGAGCCCCATGTTGGGCAAAAGATTCCTGCATTCATTGCAGGGGGTTGGACTAGATGACCCCCAGGGTCCCTTCCAACTCTTGTGTATACAGCAAAGAAATGTGCTAAATGTGTTATCAAAGTATGTGGTTTTGGAGTATGGGAAATACAAGCCACCACTTAATTCAGTTAATAAAATTAAAGAGCTGTCATAAATTATGAGCACATAACCCCTCTGATTGGCAAAATGCCAGTAAGGCTAGCTTCTTGCTTTGTCTCTCGCATGATTTGTTGCAAGCTGCACTTTACATGTAGACAAAGTGTAAACTTTAAGCGTAGCAAGTGTTCCTGAAGACCGCTGGAGAGACTTCCAGCAAAAGCATCTGAAACAGCTTTTGGATCTCTGTTCAATGGAAGGTTTAATAACAAGAAACTTGAGGAAGGGGGAAAGCAGATATTATAAATCATTCTGTCCAAGGAAGAGAATCCATGAACAGAATACGTTAGGAGACTCAAAGGCAATTAAATGGATTACAGAATCATGGAATTTGCTTTTTTAAAAATTAAAAAACCCCTTCTTCTTTTTTAAGATCACTCTCTAATGTTGCTGTGCATCTTCCCTGGTTTTAAGAAAGCTCTTGTTGACAGTTAAAACAAAGAGAATGGTGGTTTCAGTCCTCTGTCTGCTTGTATGTCCAGAAATTCACAGACTGCCTCCCCTCCTCTGTGCATTGGCAATGCAGATGGCGGACAATGAAAGCTGAGTCCAAAACATTTGGGGGGGGGGACAGGTTACTGATCCCTGAGTCAGTAGCAAGCACAGAAAGACTTCTGCCTGGCACTTTGGAAAACTGTCCAAGTCAACAATACGGGGTTAGATAGTCTACCACTGCAGAAGCTTTGTTCCTTCATTTTGTTCCTCCGTCTGTTTCATTAGCTTTTGGTCTATTAAAATGTTGCTGCACAATTGATTTTCTTTTCTTGTTCTGCAGTTACCAATAGCTTATCATGTATTTACCTATCAGCACACAGAGATTTATGAGTTCTTTCCAGGAGGGATACTAGACTGAAACCTCCCTATAAAGAACAAGGTTGCAGAACCTTGTTTGTGCTGAAGGCATCATGTATACAGCTTGGCTACACGAGGAGCTGGAATTTCTAATCAAAACCAGTTGTGAGTTTGGAACAGGATGTCTTCTTCCTCTTACCTGCCAGGTTTCATAGTAGAGTCCAATGTGGCATGCATATTCAAACCCAAATGTTTGGCAAAGGAAGGGAGTGCATGAATGATAATAAGATAGCTATGCTAATAAAAAGCATGTGCCAAAGACAAGCTGAAAACAAGTCAAAAGCCAAACTTGCATCATCAAACAAAACCTCCATTGAAAGCAAAAAAAAAATACTGCCAACCACATGGTGTTTAAAAATAAAATTGAAAATGCTATATCAGCATCAGGCATGCATGTGCTATGTGCCCCCCAGTGGTGAAATCAAGATGCAACCATAGGAAATTCATTTGTCAGCTTTCAATGGCAGCATTTGACATGGGTAATTCCATGATGAGGAGCGGTATAAGGAAGCTGGAGAAAGTTTTGGGGTCAAATTGCCTTGAGATGATAGCAAGGAAATGTCACCCTGTGCGGATTTGTGTGGCCTTGGCACATGTGACAACAGAGGTCTGGTTCATTCACTGTTCTCCCATCAAACAGCTCAGTACCCCAAGTCTGTGCTGCCAGCATAAAGTACTGTTATAGATCGGGGGGAATGCCCCCCTTAAACCCAAGAAATTAATAAGTGGTTGGATCTTGATTATTTGGGGTATGGGAGGGAACATTGGAGGTCATTGGAAAAGTACAGGCTAAGCTTCCTTCCCAAGCCCATGCCTCACCTGGGATAGAGGCGTTAACATGACAAAAGGGGTTGGTGGCCCAACTAAGAGGAATCTTGGGCCTGGGCAGACAGAAGGTTGCCAGGGTAACTGGGTGTGAGGTGGCAGGTAAAGAGTGTCTTCTTGAGCAAGTTGTGCTGGGAAGAAGGGAGAGAGAAAGACTGAGATCCACCTTGGGCTAGCTGGGAGAGATGCCTGTAGGACTCCAAGGCTTAGAATGACCATGCTGTAAGATCTGAATTCCCTCTATGCAGACTAAAGGTGTAAATAGTGAATAAACCATATTTCTTGAAGCTACAACAGTCTCCACCATGTTTCAATTCTCCAAAGTAACACAAACCCTGGGTGAGTGCCTGGGACCCCATGAACTCTTGCTACTACTTGGCAGAGAGAGGGGCAGGCACCCAACTTTCCCAATAGTACCATAAGCAACTGGAGTGGTAAATATATGTATTCCATGCTGGACGCTATGGTGGAAACAGGAGAATCATGGATAGCAACAGATTCACCATGAAAATAAAGAGTAGACTAGCCCTTAAGCCTGCTGCAAGATTACATGGCGGAGAGGTGGTCCTTGTTACAAAAGTGTTGTACACTCTGAATGATCTAAAGCAGTCACTTCCGATCTGGGGGATGGCAGGGTACTGCAGGATCTACGTTAATGAAAGCGTAAAATGTAGCAGAGGCAGAGGCAGAGGCATGCCCAAGAAAGGCGACAGTCACTTGCAGGCCATTGGAAAAAAAGTTCGGAGCAGTTGTGCTGGCTTGGACAAGATCATTGTCTCTGTGCCTGTTAAGCTTACCAGCTGAAACCAGCGTGGCCCATGTGATGACCTTTCTGGACGTCAATGTTGTGGCACTGCCTAAAAACAGCCTAGTCTGGCCACCCCACCGCTCTTTCCATAGTAAAGTACACGGGCAGTTGCAGTTGTCTTTCCCTGGTCCTACTTTTGCAATTCCCTATCACCCAGTAAGTTTGCTGGGAGCTGGTGCCTAGGAAGCACTGAGGACCCCAAGGGGGCACCTTTCCAAGGGCTCCTGACATCTTTCCACCTGGACATCCTCCTGTACCGATTCACATCAAGGCTGTCTAAACATGTTGGGTTCTTGCTTTAGCCTGCATGCTTTCTCTGACGCATTCAGCCTACAATGTGTTTCTTTTTCATTTCCATTTAATATTAAATGTTTTGACCCAATTTAGCGTCGGCTATTATCCTGAAAACATTGTGTAGCACAAAAATGCTCAGCAATAAACTGGCTGCTTGAAAACATCCCCATTAAAATAAATAGATGAAAATGTGACTGCTGGATATTATTTACTATTTTCACAGACCTGAGGGTTTGTCTTTGCAAAAGCTTCAGAATTTGAGCATGCATCTTGTTAACGGAAATGTAAGGCCGCTTGCTTATTCAAGGTTCAGTGCAAGCAGCAAATAGCTTATGGATGTAAGCTAAATGTTCACGTGAAAATCAATGCCTTTGTGCTTTCATCTGAGCATAGATTTCTTTCAAAAGTTGAGCACTGTAACATTAATCCATAATTCTCTTTCATACAAAGCTTGGCCTTTAATATGAGTCTTCCTTAATAACCACATCCAAGGTTCTGTATGAATCGAACTACTATCCTAATGCCACCATATCTGTCTTTCCTATTAACGCCTCAAACCTGATTGCATTTACTAAGAACTAGACTAAATGTCTGAAGATGCCCCTAAAAGCAGCTCCTGAGGCACGTTTTCAATACTTCAGTTTAAGCTTTAGTACATAGCCTATGCAGGTGTTCCTCCAGCAGCATAATGCAGTGTTTGGAGCGTAGGACTAGCACCGGGGGTACCAGGGTTCACATCCCCCACTCAGCCATGAGGCTCACTGGGTGACATTTGGCCAGTCACCTTCTCTCAGCTAGCCTACCTTGCAGAGGATAAAATGGGAAAGAGAAGACCTGCCTTGAGCTCCTTAGAGTACAGGTGGGATAGAAATGTAAATGCTACACGTAAACTTCTAAAGCTTCTATACTCATGGAAGCTTCCTGCGTAATTTGGAACCCTGCATAATTGAGATTTTAAATCACAATGGGGAACCTCCAGGCATACAGGAGATGGTAATGAGAAGCGGGGAGGAGAGTTTAGTGCCCGCGTTGCCATCCTCCCTGCAGCCTGAACACTTGCATACAGCCAGGGCCAATGGAGGGGGGAGGCATTTTGACCCAGGGCCTTGAGATCAAAGGGGGCCTCAGATTTGGACACTTGTTAATGTTTTGGCATTCGATAAGTTTCCCAAGTGGTTCTTATGCACATCAGATCAAATTGTGACACACTCCCCCAGTTTAGAGGTGCAAATTTAAACAAGTACGGGATGTGACCGGACATCCCAGTAGCTGCTGGTGCCCTTCTCTAGGTCATCCTCATCCTGCCAGTCCTGGTGCTCCCACTACTCCATGACACAGGATCATAACAGGTGGCTGCCATGCAGTCTCCATACACCCTATCCACAGCTTCCCAAAATGTAGATCGTTTACAGACTTTCTATTCTGTGATGGTGACCTACTTGGCAAAATGTTTACATTGCTCCCTATAAGAGAGGTTGGAGGAATTACAGCCATGGGGAATGACAGTTTGGGCAGCACTCAGGTGGCCTGTGTAACGTGTGCCTCATCTCTTACTCCCATGGAAATCAATAGTACTTCCTTCCAAACAGATGCCTTTAAGGAGGAAACTAGGATTGAGGCAGTGGGGTGGTTCCTATGTGCATAATAACCACCTGACTGCAGCATCATGTGGTGGCATAATAGGTTTCATCCTGCAGTTGGAACTCTCCTATTGCCCTCAAACATGATGGTGTCAGTTCATTCTGCTCCAAGTCAACCAGGGCTGGTTCACACAATGTGCATGTTTATTATCTGATGCAGCCTGAAGTGATGAGCCACATCTATGAACAGGCCACTACAAACAGAACTTCCATATCTCATGGCTTCACTTCACCTGCCATGCTTTTTAATTGAGGAGCTCACACGAGAATTAAATTTGTTTAAAAATACATTGGATCCAACTGGCTGGTTTTCTTTAGTTGGTTGCAGTAAGATTTGCTTGCATGGGGTGGGGAGGGATTGTTGGGTCAAGTTAGCCATTTTGCTTTGTATGCTGTCTATTCT